TGTCGCTTAGGCATCCTGTGAAGAAATACCCCCCCTCTCTCTCTCTCTCTCTCTCTCTCTCTCTCTCTCTCTCTCTCTCTCTCTCTTCTCTTCCTCCTCTCTTGCCCTTCCTCTCCTCTTCTGCTTCTCCCTCTGCTCCTCCTCCTCTTACTCCCTACCCCCTCTTGCTCCTCCTCCTCTTACTCCCTACCCCTCTTGCTCCCTCCTCCTCACCTCCCTACCCCCTCTCTGCTCCTCCTCCTCTGCTTCTCCCTCTCCTCTTGTTCCTCCTCCTGCTCCTCCTTCTCCTTCTCTTACATCTCCTCCTCTCTTGCTCCCTCCCTCTCCTCCTCACTCCCTCCTCTTCTTCTTGCTCTCCTTTTCTTCCTCTTGCTCCTCCTCCTCCTCTTGCTCCTCCCTCTCCTCTCTCTTACTCCTCCTCCCCCTCTTGCTCCTCCTCCTCCACTTTCTCCTCTTCCTCCTCCTCAGCTTCTCTTCTCTTTCGTATTATTATTATTGTTGTTGTTGTTGTTGTTGTTGTTGTTTGTTGTTGTTTTTACCACAGATATCCTCCACCTGAACACCAGTTCCTTCATCAACACTAACTACGGCACCAGTATCATAAAAACATAATAACAACAACAACAACATGACTACACCTTAACGATCAGTAGTTAAAGACCGTGTGTGTGTGTGTGTGTGTGTGGTGTGTGTGTGTGTGTGTGTGTGTGTGTGTGTGTGTGTGTGTGTGTGTGTGTGTGTCCAGAGACTGGCAGGTTGCAGGGCCAACTTATTTAAAAGCATGAAATTAAAAAGCACAAATTGCTGACGCAGAGAGAGAGAGAGAGAGAGAGAGAGAGAGAGAGAGAGAGAGAGAGAGAGAGAGAGAGAAACCCAAATTACATTACATCAACATTCATCTTCCTTGTAAGTCACAGGGAACGAATCTCTCTCTCTCTCTCTCTCTCTCTCTCTCTCTCTCTCTCTCTCTCCGTTTTACGACACGTAGTAATTGAAATCCCATTTGTATATACTGTATATTGTGTTATTTGTATATTTTGTGTATGATATTCCATTGATTCCTTCATGTAATCATCTACCTCAGCATGTAAAAACAGAGGTCCGTAGTGTTTTCTGGTACGTGTCGCCATCTAGTGGTTGAGGGGCAAAAGTATGATGGGGACTACCAGACGTCGCCACTGGACCATCTTACTGAATGGTTGAGATGAAAATTTAGTTCATGCTTGACTCATTCATTCGAGGTTTTAGTGTTTGGTCAACCATTCAGTAAAGTCAATCAGATTTTGAACAACCGCCGTAACCGAGGTTATATGATGCGATAATAGTGTTGATTACAGTGTTATTTATTGTGTATTGTGTGACGTCTCCTTTACTTATGGTGTTCCTGCTCCATTGAGTTAATATTGTAGATAGTTATTTCAGTGGTGAGTAAATGTATCACACTGACACATCACTGCTCCCTCATCCTTCCTCACACCTCATCCCCCTACACACAGTCATCCTTGTCACCCATCATCCTCCTCCTCTCCTCACAGACTCATCCATACTCACCACCTTTCCCTTCCCCACTAAACACCTCTTCACCCACCTCTCATCCCTCCACCACTCCATCATCCACACTTCTCCTCCAGACACCCTCCCGCCCTCATCCCACACACACCACATAATCCATCTTCGGCTCTCCATCCCACCCTCCACCATCCCAATCTCATTCCACCCTCTATCCCTCTCCTATCCCACCCCTCTCCCCACCCCTCCCATCCCACCCCTCACCATCCCACTCCTCCCCTCCCTCCCCTCCTCCCCTCCTCCCACCCACCTCATCCCATCCCCCATCCCACCTCCCTACACCCCACCCTCACCACCCCTCCTTCTCTGACCCCTTTTCAATATCGGATCGTGCTGAAAAATCGTCTATATGAGGAATGACTTATTGCCTGAGGTGAAGGCATTTATCCGTCCAATCTGTAGGATGAGGATTGGTCAGGTGACGGAAAGGCCGACCACTGAATAAATTATCTCTTGCTGTATATATTAGTGTGAGGGTGGGTGGGGGATTTTATATATATTTAACTCCATCTTGCATTGTGTTTATTTGTAATGGGTAAAATCCAAATGGGGATTTTTGTAGTTGAGAGTTGTAGAGGTATTAATCCTAGTTGTGGAGTTGTAGAGGGATTAATCCTAGGTGAGGAGTAGAGGATTAATCCTAGCTGTGAGTTGTAGAGGATTAATCCTAGCTGTGGGAGTTGTAGAGGGATTAACCTAGTTGTGGGAGTTGTAGAGGATTAACTGTTGTGGGAGTTGCAGAGGATTAATCCTAGTTGTGGGAGATGTAGAGGAATAATCCTAGTTGTGGGAGTTGTAGAGGATTAACCTAGCTGTGTGAGTTGTAGAGGAATAATCATATATATATATATATATATATATATATATATATATATATATATTATATATACTTGACCTATACTTGACCTATACTTGACCTCTATAGACTTGATCTCACCCTCCTCTGTATATATATAACTTGTTCTGCATTTCTACTCAGTCTGTACTCACTGAAGATGTGAATTACACAGCGCTTGGGAACTTCTGTGTTTTTTTCTTGTGGTTATCAGCATATACCTGAATGCACCTACAGTGATTTATTTGCATATATATATATATATATATATATATATATATATATATATATATATATATATATATATATATATATATATATATATATATATATATATATATATATATATATATATGTATAAATATAAATATTTATAATTTTGAGGGGGAGGTAACTTTTGCCCCTGTGGTTCAGCAGCAGCTCTGGGAGGGTCCCTGGGACCACGCCGCCCATGAAAGGTCTCTGGGGCAGCCACCACTAATGGGAGGACCCTTGGTAGTGCCATCGCCCCAGTGAGAGCCCCTGGGGGCTCACACCCCGTGGGACGGTCTTTGGAGTCCCTGGTGGCCCAGCTGTACCTAAGAGTATCCCTAGCGCCGTCGTCCTGAGAGGGCCCCTGGGGCCGCCACCCCCTGGAAGGTCCCTGGGAGCCCTTAACCCTGGGAAGGTCCATTCGGGCACCACTATCCTGGGACGGTCCTGGGAAGCCGGTCCCTGAGAGGGCTCCTGGAAACGCCGCCAACCCTAGGAAAAATTTGGGAGCCCCAGACCTGTCAGGCCCCTGGTGCAGTAGTTTATGATATAAGGAACTCTGGCAGATGCAACGTTAAATAAATACACCGCCCATCACATTTCCAGTATCATCGCATTCTGAATAAGGTATCGATAATAATATCCACAGAAAACATAAGTTGTGGTGTTGTGTTGACTGACTGCTCTTCGTATTGGCTGTATTTGGTAGAAGGAATAGACCACCAATCATAGTTCAGAAGGGACTGCTGAAGTATTTAATATATATGACACAACGAATGAGCACATCATAGGCTTAGCACCCAAGGTAGGGTCCTCGAAGGCCCTGGCGGCGCCACTGTCCTAGGAGGGTCCTGGATTTCCCTGGGGTATTGCTGTTGCTGGGAGTGTCCCGTAGCCACTGTCCCTGGTTGGGCCTCCGAAGGCACCACCACCCCTGGGAGTACCCCTGGGAGCATCGCCGCCCTGAGAGGGCCCCTTCGGGTTGCCTCCGCTCCCGGGAGGTCGCCTTGGAGGCTCTGCCGTTCCTGGAAGATCCGTCTGGCGCTGCCACCCTGAGAGAATCCCTGCGAGAGTCCCTTGGGGCGCCGCTGTCCCTGGGAGTAACCATAGGCGCCAACCTCCTGGGAGGACCCCTGGGATGCCATCATCTCTGGGAGTGCCTCAGGCCGCTGCCACTGAGAGGGCCCCACGCTTATGCCCTGGGGCGGTCTTTGCAAAGGTTTTGGTGGCGCTGTCGCCCCTGACAGAACCCTTGGGGCCCTACCGTCCCTAGGACGGTCTCTGGAAAGGTCCTTAGGGGCGCCGCTGTACCTGGCAGAATCCCTTGGGGCGTCGCCACCCCTGAGAGGGCGCCTGGATACGCCGCCTTCACTGGAAAGGTCCATGGGTGCGCCGCCACCCGTGGGACAGTCCCAGGGGGCGCCACCGGCCAGAGGATGGTCCCTGCGGGCGCTGCCGTAACTGAAAAGGCCTCTGGAAGCGCCGCCAACCCTAGGAAAGTTCCGGGAGCACCAGACCCATCGGGCCCTGGGTGCAGTAGTTTTTGTGTTATTTGATCTCTGGCAGATGCAACGTTAAATAAATATACACCCATCACATTTCCAGTATCATCGCACTCTGAATAAGGTATCGGAGAATAATATCCAACAGGAAAACATAAGTTGTGGTGTTGTGCTGACTGACTGCTCTCTTCTCCTATTGGCTGTAATTTGGTGGTTGAAGGAATAGACCACCAATCATAGTTTAGTAAGGACTGCTGGAAGTATTAAATATATATATCACACAACGAATGAGCAATGCCATAGGGCCCTTGGCAACCCAAGGTAGGGTCCCTGGCCGCGCCACCGCTCCTAAGGAGGTCCCTGGCCGCGCCACCGCTCCTAGGAGGGTCCCGGCCGCGCCACCGCTCCTAGAGGGTCCCTGGCCGTGCCACCGCCCTAGGAGGGTCCCTGGCCGCGCCACCACCCTAGGAGGGTCCCTGGCCGTGCCACCGCTCCTAGGAGGGTCCCTGGCCGCGCCACCACTCCTAGGAGGGTCCCCCGTGCCACCACTCCTAGGAGGGTCCCTGGCCGTGCCACCGCCCTAGGAGGTCCCTGGCCGCGCCACCGCTGCTCCCAGGAGGTCCCCTGCCGCGCCACCGCCCTAGGAGGGTCCCTGGCCGCGCCACGCTCCTAGAGGGTCCCTGGCCGCGCCACCGCTCCTAGAGGGTCCCTGGCCGCGCCACCGCTCCTAGAGGGTCCCTGGACGTGCCACCGCCTCTAGGAGGGTCCCGGCCGCGCCACCACCCTAGGAGGTCCCCTGGCCGTGCCACCGCCCTAGGAGGGTCCCGGCCGTGCCACCGCCTCTAGGGGGGTCCCGGCCGCGCCACCGCTCCTAGAGGGCCCTGGCCGCCACCACTCCTAGGAGGGTCCCTGCCGTGCCACCGCCCAGGGAGGGTCCCTGGCCGTGCCACCGCTCCTAGGAGGGTCCCTGGCCGCGCCACCGCTCCTAGGAGGGTCCCTGGCCGCGCCACCGCTCCTAGGAGGGTCCCTGCCGCGCCACCGCTCCTAGGAGGGGTCCCTGGCCGCGCCACCGCCTCTAGAGGGTCCTGCCGCGCCACCGCTCCTAGAGGTCCCTGCCGCCACCGCCCTAGAGGGTCCCTGGCCGCGCCACCACCTCTAGGAGGGTCCCTGGCCGTGCCACCGCCCTGAGGTCCCTGGCCGTGCCACTGCTCCTAGGAGTGTCCCTGGCCGCGCCACCGCTCCTAGAGGTCCCTGGCCGTGCCACCACCCTAGGAGGGTCCCTGGCCGTGCCACCGCCCTCTAGAGGTCCCTGGCCGTGCCACCGCCCTAGAGGGTCCCTGACCGCGCCACCGCCCCAGGAGGGTCCCTGGCCGCACCACCTCAGGAGGGTCCCTGGCCGTGCCACCGCTCCTAGAGGGTCCCTGGCCGTGCCACCGCCCTAGGGGGGTCCCTGGCCGTGCCACCACCCTAGGGAGGGTCCCTGCCGCCACCGCTCCTAGGAGGGTCCCTGGCCGCGCCACCGCTCCTAGGAGGGTCCCTGGCCGCGCCACCACTCCTAGGAGGGTCCCTGGCCGTGCCACCACCCCAGGAGGGTCCCTGGCGTGCCACCGCCCCTGGAGGTCCCTGGCCGTGCCACCTCCTAGGAGGGTCCCCTGGCCGTGCCACCGCCCTAGGAGGGTCCCTGTCAGTGCCACCCACCCTAGGAGGGTCCCTGGCCGTGCCACCGCCCTAGGAGGTCCCTGGCCGTGCCACCACCCTAGGAGGTCCCCTGGCCGTGCCACCACTCCTAGGAGGGTCCCTGGCCGTGCCACCACTCCTAGGAGGGTCCCTGGCCGTGCCACCGCTCCTAGGAGGGTCCCGGCCGCGCCACCGCTCCTAGGAGGGTCCCTGGCCGCGCCACCACCCTAGAGGGTTCCTGGCCGTGCCACCACCGGAGGGTCCCTGGCCGTGCCACCGCATCTGAGGTCCCTGCCGTGCCACCGCTCCTAGGAGGGTCCTGGCCGCGCCACCGCCCTCTGGGAGGTCCCTGGCCGCGCCACCACTCCTAGGAGGGTCCCGGCCGTGCCACCACTCCCAGGAGGGTCCCTGGCCGTGCCACCGCCCTAGGAGGTTCCTGGCCGCGCCACCGCCCTAGGAGGGTCCCCGCCGCGCCACCGCCCTAGGAGGGTCCCTGGCCGTGCCACCGCCTCCTAGGAGGGTCCCGGCCGCGCCACCGCCCTATGAGGGTCCCTGGCCGTGCCACCACCTCTAGGAGGGTCCCTGGCCGTGCCACTGCCCCAGGGAGGGTCCCTGGCCGCGCCACCGCTCCTAGGAGGGTCCCTGGCCGCGCCACCGCTCCTAGGAGGGTCCCCGGCCGCGCCACCGCCCTAGGAGGGTCCCTGGCCGCGCCACCGCTCCTGGAGGGTCCCTGGCCGTGCCACCGCTCCTAGAGGGTCCCTGACCGCGCCACCTCTAGGAGGGTCCCTGGCCGCGCCACCGCCCTAGGAGGGTCCCTGGCCGTGCCACCGCCCTAGGAGTGTCCCTGACCGCGCCACCGCCCTAGGAGGGTCCCTGGCCGCGCCACCACTCCTAGGAGGGTCCCTGGCCGTGCCACCGCTCCTAGGAGGTCCCTGACCGCGCCACCGCTCCTGGGAGGTCCCCTGGCAGCGCCCGCTCCCCTAGGAGGGTCCCTGGCCGCGCCACCGCTCCTCGAGGGTCCCCGGCCGTGCCACCACTCCTAGGAGGGTCCCCGGCCGCGCCACCGTTCCTAGGAGGTCCCTGGCCGTGCCACCGCCCTGGAGGGTCCCTGGCCGTGCCACCGCTCCTAGAGGGTCCTCGGCCGCGCGACCGCTCCTATGAGGTCCCTGGCCGCGCCACCGCCCCAGGAGGGTCCCGGCCGCGCCACCGCTCCTAGGAGGTCCCTGGCCGCGCCACCGCCCTAGGAGGTCCCTGGCCGCGCTACCGCCCTAGGAGGTCCCTGGCCGCCACCACCCTAGGAGGTCCCTGGCTGTGCCACCGCCCTAGGAGGTCCCTGGCCGTGCCACCGCTCCTAGGAGGGTCCCCGGCCTGCCACCGCTCCTAGGAGGGTCCCTGCCGTGCCACCGCTCCTAGAGGTCCCTGGCCTGCCACCACTCCTAGAGGGTCCCTGCCGTGCCACCGCTCCTAGAGGTCCCTGGCCGTGCCACCGCTCCTAGGAGGGTCCTTGCCGCGCCACCGCCCTATGAGGGTCCCGGCCGCGCCACCGCCCTAGGAGGTCCCTGGCCGTGCCCACCGCTCCTAGGAGGGTCCCGGTCGTGCCACCGCTCCTAGGAGGTCCTGGCCGCGCCACCGCTCCTAGGAGGGTCCCTGGCCGCGCCACCGCCCTAGGAGGGTCCCTGGCCGCGCCACCACCCCTAGAGGGTCCTGGCCGCGCCACCGCTCCTATGAGGGTCCCTGGCCGCGCCACCGCCCTAGGAGGTTCCCTGGCCGCGCCACCGCTCCTAGGAGGGTCCCTGGCCGCGCCACCGCCCTAGAGGGTCCCCTGGCCGCGCCACCGCTCCTATGAGGGTCCCTGGCCGCGCCACCACCTAGGAGGGTCCCTGGCCGTGCCACCGCCCTAGAGGGTCCCTGGCCGCGCCACCGCCCTAGGAGGGTCCGTGGCCGTGCCACCGCTCCTAGGAGGGTCCTTGGCCGCGCCACCGCTCCTATGAGGGTCCCTGCCGCGCCACCACCCTAGAGGGTCCCTGGCCGCGCCACCGCTCCTAGAGGGTCTCTGGCCGCCACTGCCCTAGGAGGGTCCTGGCAGCGCCACCGCTCCTATGAGGGTCCCGGGCGCCACCGCCCTAAGGGAGGTCCCTGGCCGTGCCACCGCCCTAGGAGGGTCCCTGGCCGCGCCACCGCCCTATGAGGGTCCCGGCCGCGCCACCTCCTAGCAGGGTCCCGGCCGTGCCACCGCTCCTAGGAGGTCCTGGCCGTGCCACCGCTCCGGAGGGTCCTGGCCGCGCCACCGCCCTATGAGGGTCCCTGGCCGCGCCACCGCCCTAGGAGGGTCCCTGGCCGTGCCACCGGTCCCAGGAGGGTCCCTGGCCGTGCCACCGCTCCTAGGAGGGTCCTGCCGCGCCACCGCTCCTAGGAGGGTCCCTGGCCGCGCCACTGCTCCTAGGATGGTCCCTGGCCGCGCCACCACTCCTAGGAGGGGTCCTGGCCGCGCCACCGCCCCTATGAGGGTCCTGGCCGCGCCACTGCCCTGGGAGGGTCCCTGGCCGCGCCACCGCTCCTAGAGGGTCCCTGGCCGCGCCACCGCTCCTGGAGGGTCCTGGCCGCGCCACCGCCCTAAGAGGGTCCCTGGCCGCGCCACCACCTAGAGGGTCCCTGGCCGTGCCACCGCTCCTAGGAGGGTCCCTGGCCGCGCCACCGCCCTAGGAGGGTCCCTGGCCGTGCCACCGCTCCTAGGAGGGTCCTTGCCGCGCCACCGCTCCTAGAGGTCCCTGGCCGCGCCACCACTCCTAGGAGGTCCCTGGCCGCGCCACCGCTCCTAGGAGGGTCTCTGGCCGTGCCACCGCTCCTAGGAGGGTCCCTGGCCGTGCCACCGCTCCTAGGAGGGTCCCTGGCCGCGCCACCGCTCCTAGGAGGGTCCCTGGCCGCGCCACCGCTCCTAGGAGGGTCCCTGGCTTGCCACCGCCCAGAGTCCCCGGTCAGCACAGCCACCGCCCAGGAGGGTCCCTGGCCGTGCCACCGCTCCTAGGAGGGTCCCTGGCCGCGCCACCGCTCCTAGGAGGGTCCCTGGCCGCGCCACCGCTCCTAGGAGGGTCCCTGGCTTGCCACCGCTCCTGGGAGGGTCCCTGAGATTTCCCTGGGGGTACCGTTGTCACTGGGAGTGACCCTGGGGGAGCCACTATCCCTGGTTGGGCCTCTGGAGGCACCACCACCCCTGGGAGTACTCCTGGGGGCGTCGCCGCCCTGAGAGGATTCCTCGGGTTGCCTCCGCTCCTGGGAGGGGCCTTGGAGGCTCTGCCGTTCCTGGGAAGATCCGTATGGGCGCTGCCGCCCCTGAGAGAATCCCTGCGAGAGTCCCCTGGGGCGCCGCTGTCCCTGGGAGTAACCATAGGGGCGCCAACTCTCCTGGGAGGACCCCTTGGGACGCCATCGCTCTGGGAGTGCCTCAGGGGGCGTCGCTGCCACTGAGAGGGCCCCTGGGGGCGCTACCGCCCTGGGGCAATGTTTGCAAAGGTCCCTGGTGGCGCCATCGCTCCTAAGAGAACCCCTGGGGCCCTACCGCCCCTAGGACGGTCTCTGGATAGGTCCCTAGGGGCGCCGCTTTTACTGGCAAAATCCCTTGGGGCGTCGCCACCCCTGACAGGGCGCCTGGATACGCCTCCGTCACAGGAAAGGTACCTGGGTGCGCCGACACCCTTGGGGAAGTCGCTGGGGGCTCCACGGCCGCTGAGACGGTCCCTGTGGGCGTTGCCTTAACTGAAATGGCCCCTGGAAGCGCCGCCAACCCTAGGAAATTTCTGGGAGCACCAGACCTGTCGGGCCCGTGGGTGCAGTAGTTTTTGCGCTATATAGAACTCTGGGAGATGCAACGTTAAATAAATATACACCGCCCATCTCATTTCCAGTATCATCGCACTCTGAATAAGGTATTGGAGAATAATATCCAACAGGAAAACATAAGTTGTGGTGTTTTGCTGACAGGCTGCTCTCTTCTCCTATTGGCTGTAATTTGGTGGGTTGAAGGAATAGACCACCAATCATAGTTCAGTAAGGGACTGCTAGAAGTATGTAATATATATGACACAACAAACCAACAATGCCAGAGGGCCCTTGGCAACCCAAGTTAGGGTCCCTGGAAGGGGCCCTGGCGGCGACACCGCTCCTAGGAGGGTCCCTGGGATTTCCCTGGGGGCATTGCTGTTGCTGGGAGTGTCCCTGGGGGAGCCACTAACCCTGGTTGGGTCTCTGGAGGCACCACCACCCTCTGGAAGTACCCCTGGGGGCGTCGCCGCGCTGAAAGGGCCCCCTCAGGTTGCCTCCACTCCTGGGAGGGTCCCTGGAGTCTCTGCCGTTCCTGGGAAGATCCGTGGGGGCGCTGCCGCCCCTGAGAGAATCCCTGCGAGAGTCCCCGGGGGCGCTGCTGTCCCTGGGAGTAACCATAGGGGCGCCAACTCTCCCGGGAGGACCCCTTGGGACGCCATCACCTCTGGGAGTGCCCCAAGGGACGTTGCTGCCACTGAGAGGGCCCCTGGAGGCGCTACCGCCTTGGGGCAATCTTTGCAACGGTCCCAGGTGGCGCGTCGCCCCTCAGAGAACCCCTGGGGCCCTACCGCATCTAGGACGGTCTCTGGAAAGGTCCCTAGGGGCGCCACTTTAACTGGCGGAATCCCTTGGGACGTCGCCACCCCTGAGAGGGTCCTTGGAGACGCCGCCTTCACAGGAATGGCCCCTGGAAGCGCCGCCAACCCTAGGAAAGTTCTGGGAGTACCAGACCTGTCGGGCCCCTGGGTGCAGTAGTTTTTGTGTTATTTGGATCTCTGGGAGATGCAACGTTAAATAAATATACACCGCCCATCACATTTCCAGTATCATCGCACTCTGAATAAGGTATCGGAGAATAATATCCAACAGGAAAACATAAGTTGTGGTGTTGTGCTGACAGGCTGCTCTCTTCTCCTATTGGCTGTAATTTGGTGGGTTGAAGGAATAGACCACCAATCATAGTTCAGTAAGGGACTGCTGGAAGTATGTAATATATATGACACAACAAACCAACAATGCCAGAGGGCCCTTGGCAACCCAAGTTAGGGTACCTGGAAGGGGCCCTGTCGGCGACACCGCTCCTAGGAGGGTCCCTAGGATTTCCCTGGGGGTACTGCTGTCACTGGGAGTGTCCCTGGGGGAGCCACTATCCCTGGTTGGGTCTCTGGAGGCACCACCACCCTCTGGAAGTACTCCTGGGGGCGTCGCCGCGCTGAAAGGGCCCCCTCAGGTTGCCTCCACTCCTGGGAGGGTCCCTGGAGGCTCTGCCGTTCCTGGGAAGATCCGTGG